AAGATAGAAACAACTCAAGGGTCCATCGCTGGATTCAGTGGGTGAACAGGCAACTAAAATGTGATATAGACACACAAGGGAATATTATTCAGCCTTAACAAGGAAGGAAATTCTCGCACATTACAACATGGATGGAACTTGGAGACACCATGCAAAATGAAACAAGCCAATCGCAAAAAGACACCTATTATATGATTCCACTTATATGAAGCACCTGGAGGCAGAAAGTAGAATGGTGATTGCCAGGGGCTGCTGAGAGGGGGAAACAGGGCACAGCGTTCAATGAGTACAGAGGTTCCAGTTGAGGAAGATAACAACAGTTCTGCACATGGACAGTGGTGAAGGTTGCACAAATACGTGAATGTACTTAATGCCACAGAACTGTACACTTAAAAGTGGTTTAAATGGTAAATTTTATGTCTTGTATTTTTTACCACAATTAAAAAAAAGAGAGAGAGAGAGATGAAATCGTTTCCGTGGACTTGGTATTCTGCAACTTGCAATACACGCAGTGGGGTTTGCAACATATAGAGTGCCCTGGGCTCTTCTCAGAGTTTTAGATGCAAAGCTATTGGTCCATTTCTGGGCAACCTTTCAAATTATGAAAGACTAGGGACACCTGGGTGGCTCAGTACCATTAAGCATCTGACTGTGGCTAAGGTCAAGATCTCAGGGCCCTGGGATCGAGCCCTGTGCTTGGTGGGGAGTCTGCCTCTCCTGCCTCTCTCCCTCTGCCCCTGCTCGTGCTTGCACGCTCTCTCTCTCAAATTAATGAAGTCTTTTAAGAAATAAATAAAAATAAAGTCTGTCTTCTTATATTCAGCATAATTATTCAAGATTCATCCACGTTGTTAAGTATATTGGGCATTCATTCCTTTTTATTGCTGAATAGTAGTCCACTATATGGAAATACTACAATTTCTTTTTTTTCCTAAGATTGTTTTTGTTTGTTTGTTTATTTAGAGAGCGCTTGAGTGGGGGGAGGTGCAGAGTGAACCCCATTTCGAAGTGGGCTCCATTTCTCTCTTATTTCTAGGATAATTGTCGGGAGATAAAATTTAAATAATGTGCTTCAGGTTTCCTAAGAACACATGATATGGAATTATAAAGCAAAGCAGGAATTTTGAAACGGAATGTCAGCTGAAGCCAGATTACCACTGATCTGGTGGTAATTGATAGTGAACATGTCTCTGGAGTGCGCACCAAGTTAATTCACAAGTCAAGCGACTAACTTGATCCCACCTAAATTAGGAGAGTGTATGTCCATGCTAGCAGTTCTAGTCCAATCTCGGGAGTTTATTATTTTAAACCAACTACGCTAGAGGATTTTAGACAATTAAACTGATGTTTGAGAAACAACAATTAACACTGAGAATGAAAGAATAAATTCATAAAACAGTTTTTGAGGTTCTATTCCCATCAGTACAACAGATGTTGAGAAAAGGTCTGCAATTGGCAAGGTCCGGTCCTGGGTGCAAGTCACCTTCTGACATGACTACCAACTGCTGGTTCTCTCTGTATGTCTCATAGCCGGACTAATCAAGACAGAAGTGGGTATTGATCATGGCCCTGCCTTCTCTGCTGGGCAGACCTCACGTGTATCACATATACAAGCCGACCACAATGGCTGGTGGAACTTTCTCAGAAAGGGCAGTGGCTAGGGTAGGTCCTCCCAGTGGAATGGGCTCCTTTGTAACCCAAAAACCATTTCACATTCATTATCTGGCCTAAGCCACACACACACACACACACACACACACACACACACACACACACAAATTCACGAAGGCTTCAGTCGTTCCATATACCTATTTGCTACTCATGTATCTCTTGGGGTAGTATCCACTCATATACCACCCGTTTTTTATTGGGTGGGTTCTTTTCTTATTGGTGAGTTTTGAGAGTGTTTTTTATTTAAAAAAATACATTCTGGATATAACTCCTTTATCAGATACGTGATGTGTAAACATTTTTGCCCAATCTGTGGCTTATTCTTTCCTTTTTTTTTTTTTTTTTGGAGATTTATTTACTTATTTGAGAGAGAGAGAGAGAGGAGGGAGAGTGCAGGGGACAGGGGAGGGGCAGAGGGGCAGAGGGAGAGGGACCATGACCTGAGCCAAAATCAAGAGTTGGACCCTTCACTAACTGAGCCACCCAGGCACCCCTCTTCTCATTTTTTAAAAACTATTTTATGAACAAGTCCCTTTATCAGATGTATCCGAGTACCTAAATGTGCCTACTGACACCCAAAGTGCCTAAATATCCGCTTTGTTAACTGCAAAAATTCCATACAAATATACGTAGGGACCCTGAGTCTACAGGCCTATAGGGTGGGGCAGGATTCATGTACTTCTATGTAACCCAAATGCTTACCAGCGCCTTCGAGAAAAAACTTCCCACCTCCTAACCCCTGTCTGTGGAGGCGCAGAGTCCTCAGAATTCCTTGGATTCCTCAGGTGGGAGGCAGGTGGGGGCAAAATGGCTTCATGTCCTGGCTCTGCCTTGTGTCCCCACTCATCTGGTTCCTGAGTGGGTGTCTGGCCCCCTGATCCCACTTCCCCATGTTATTTCAAACTCAGACCTGGATGCCCTCTATGAGTCCTACACACATGGGAACTTTGTGCTGGTGGCCATCTCCACTGAGGTGTGGGGGGAGACGTTTTCATCAAAACATGGGACCTAATTTTTAAGTTGCATGTGAGACATCCTCATCCTTAAAAGCCCTTTCTTTGCCCTCACTGGAAAATCTTCACTGCCATCTTGTTCTGGGACCATCACAGAGCTGCTGATGGGCTTCTCCTTGTCTTTTTTCCTCCTCAGACACAGTCCCACACAAAAGCACAGCATGGGTGGTGCATGACCTCTTGGGTTAGCATACCCACAACCTCAAGAGGCTCATCAATATTTCCTTGAATGAGTGCTCTCCTCTGAGGTATTCCGGTGCCCGCTAAATAGTAACTTTACACCTGATACGTTGCTATCTGTTTAGACAGGCACCTACTCGCACTTGTGCCTTCAAGCAAGACTTCCTCATCCTTATTGGAATTAAATACTAATTATCATTTAAGCTCTCCTGGTGATGGACGTACTTTTGGTATTGTAGATGGGTTGACATACTCAGCAGTGGCATGGGTATTTATAATTCTCCAGAAGAAGTCTTTCTTCTGGCATTCTGGCCCCCAGGACACATGCTGAGCAGAACTTTCCAACCCCTCGGTATCTGGGCCAATTTAGTGGTGAGCAGAGAAGAGCCTCTTGCTGGGACTGCTGTAGTATCCTCAGCCTAGGGAAGATGACGGGCAGCTGGGATCCATTGCCGAGAGAGACTTCTCGGCAGTTCTAACCATGACCCATTAGTCTGCATTTCTCCGTGCCCATCTTGTCTTTGAATCCCTGGCAAAAAGAAGCACATCTGTGGAAGGCTTTTGGCAGAGCTGGGGTGTGGCATAGTGGAGGGTGAGGAGTTTTGGGGAGAGGGAAGATTTCTTGCTTCACCAGGACCTCAACTGTCTTGAGACAAACGCAGCAGATCCACGAGGGAATATAGCACTTCTTGGTCCCATAGTCCGTGTGTTACTGGCCTTGAGTCAGAAGAGGGAGCCCCAAGTTCACTGTCTGCCCTGTACTGTAGTGTCTTCTCGGAAACCCCTGATCGATATTGATTTCTTCTCCTCAAGGCTGACGCCCTCAAAGGGAACTTGGACTTCTGTACTGCTCTGTCAGAAAATGCTTAGATACGAACAAAGTCTTACATGATTTGGCCCTTTGTACTTTTTTAAACCTCCATGCATTTAGCTATGGTGACCTTGGGGCAGTTCCTAAATCCGAGACTTAGTTTCTGGAACTGTAAAACAGCAATAATGTAATTGTGCCCACCTGAGGGGTGCTTGTGAGGAGGACTTATTTCCAATTACATACATACGGGGGTGCAGTGTCTGGATGGCAGCTAATGGCAGGAGCAGCCATAATAATGTAAATTCCCAAGGGGTTCAGTACAAAGACAGAAACCCAGCCAATTGGTACAGGCTGGCCAGTGCCTGGAGAAGCTCCTAGGAAAATTGTATTTTCTCAGTGTAAGCCCTGAGAAAAGTTAGTGAGCTCACTATCTCATCCGAATTTCCCTTTCCCGCATGCTTCCAGGTTTTCCACTTGATGGAAATGACTCTATCTGCCACACCTGTTTCGGATTTGGCTTCAGGGGATGTGCGGTTCAGAGATGCAGAGCATCAGGAAAAGCAGATGATGGAATTCTGTATGAACAGGGCAGCAGGGGCCAGGAGAAAACTTGCTTTTCTGACAAAATGGGGAGAAAACCCAGCCAGAGAGCAGAGATCTAAAGCAGAGTTCTTTCTCCCTATGGTGTTTGTACCCAGGAAGCAGTCAGAAACCCCCAATTCCACGGACACAGGCATACATTTTAGCTGTCCAGGAAGAGTACGAGGGAAGGACTGCTCCTTAACACTGTCAACAGGCGTTCTGGAACTTCTCACCCTTAGCTTACGGGGGCACATAAATATTTTAAAATCCCGCAGGGTTGCGGAAGGGGGCAAGCAGAGCATTCTACAAAGAATTGGAATGAGTTTAGGGCAAAGCCAAGAGCTCAAATATTCCCCTAGTTGCCCTTATAGCCAAATTCTAACTTTAGGGTCAGAGAGCCTGAGGGCACAGAGTAGGAGCAAAGAAGCAGTAGAACCCTTTGTCCTAATTCCAGAGCCACCTGCCTGCCTCTTGCATTTTAATTCCGAAGAGGCTGTTCCATTTATTCTCCTGAAAGGTTTGCCTCCCCTTAGCATCTATCGTCTCACATATTCCACATGGCTTTTTGGATTTTAAGTTCCTTGAAGGCAGAGGCCAGAACCTATATGATTTTGCAGGCACATTTTACAAAGAACATCTAGTAGGTGCTCTGTAATTTTTAATACAGGCCTAATGAAATCAACTTGAAATTAAAACTGCTATGTTGACTTCTGTTTCATAAAAAAAAAATTTATTTTCCAGGGTGAAAGTTCAAGTAGAAAAATAACTTAATGCATAAATTAATTTTAAAAGTTAAAATCTTTGTCCTTTCAAAAACAGTATCTTGCTTGTCAGTCACTTACAGAGCCTCTGCAAGTTGAAGAATGCCCAAAATCCTTGTCAACATCGTCCATTCCCAGAGGCACAGGCTGAGAGATCTTCAGTTAGGGAGAGAATCTGTAAGTTTATCAAGGAAGAAAAAGCTCTTGAGGATTTCTGCTTGCACTATTGTCCAGGCACAGACGCTGTACTCCTTGGCTTTCAGGTACCGCACGATCCTTAGATAATATCTCTTCAGGTGCAGAAGGGTCCTGTGGTCCCAAGTGAAGTTTTCCTCCTGCATGATGTCCTCCAGGATTTCCTTCAGATGTTCCTTCTGCCAGTGGAGTGTGGCAAGGAGGTTCTCGACAATGCTCTCATTCCATCCCGTGCTTGAGAGATTTCTCCTGAAAATATCAGAGGTCTTCTGGAACATCTCAAGGGTGACCAATACGATGTCCTCCTTCTGGAACTGCTGGGATTTCTGGATCTCCTCAGGTATCTTGAAGTTCATCCTGTCCTTGAGGCAATCTTTAGAAGTTCCATTCAACTGCAGAAGGAGCTCCTGGCACTCCACACTGCTGCTGCTTATTTGGAATCGAAGCAAGTTATAGTTCATGGCAAGAACCGTGGTGGAGAAATATACCAGGAGAGCAGTTTGGAGGATACACCTGCTGGTCATGATGAAAAGAGGAAGAGTCTTGCCTGCTATCGTCTAGGTGCTGAAGACAAGGCTTCAACAGTCTGCAGTGTGAATGCCCTTCTTCCATGAGTGTGGCCTTATATACACAGAGGTCCTCTCTCTTTCAGAGGAATTTCCCACTTTCAGTTCTCCCTTTCAGTTTTCCTATGTCATTTAAATTAGCAGTAGATCATAGTAAATTGTTCTAACTAGGGAACTAAGTAGTTCCAATAACACCATCGTATTTAGTTCTAACAAAGCTAAACATATGATTTTCCATTCTCATGCATACAACAACTCTAGAAAGAGATCTAGAAGGCAAATGGGAGGAAAAGTTAAGCAATCAGAGGATTAACTGTTTTTCATAGTTCTAACTATGGAACTATTTTAGCATAGTTACATAGTACATAGTTCTAACTAGGGAACTATGTAGTGGAACTACATAGTATGGAACTATGTAGTTCCAACTACATAGAAAATACATTTGATTTTCTATTCTCATGCAGACAACTCTAGAAAGAGGTCTAGAAGGAAAATGGGAGGAAAAAGTCAAGCAATCAGAGGATGTTACTGTTGAAACACATGATTCTATCTCAATATTTCTAAGGCTTTTTTTTTTAACCAGACTATAAAACATTTTAAGAGAAGAATCAGTAAAAATCAAGTTATGATTTTTATATCCTGCTTATATAGACAGAAACACACGGTTCTTTCTCAATATTTCTAAGGCTGTTTTTTGGGGTTTTTTTTTGCTGGAGTATAAAACTTATTTTAAGAGAAGAATCAGTAAATATCAAATTATGATTTTTACATCCTGCTTATGTAAACAGAAAGGAATATGATATATTTCTAAAGGTTTCAATACAAAATAAATTTATAATAATTATGATATTTAAAGTTGTAACTTTTAAGTTTTCAGAAAACCTTGCATTATCTTTCAACCTGAATTTACCAAAACCCCACTGAGTGCAAAGAATTCAGCTGAGCTGCTACAGATTATAATCCTCATTCTCATGGATTGTATAATGAATTAGGAGAGTTACACAGAGAATTACACAGAAGTAAAATGCAAGGGTGACAATGTTACAGAGGAGAGGTTCATAGTACCATGACTTCCTATGCTATATGGGGATATATGTAGTAGGAGAGGTCAGAGAAGACTGCCCTGAGGTAGTGACAGTGGAGCTGAAATCAAAAGGAAGATCAGGTGGAACTGCATGTGCAAAGGCCCTGTGGTGCTAAGGTCTATGGTAAGGGCAAAGAACTTGACCAAAAGCCAATGTGACCTTCCAATCAGAGACTGGTCAGGCAATGGTTTGAGATGAGGCCAGAGGGCTAGTGCGAGCCAGATAGCACAGGGTTTAGCCAAGAAGTTTTGTGGATTATTTTTGTTGTTGTTTTTAATCCTAAGAGCAACAGAAGCCATGGAAAGGTTTTAGGCAAGGTGGAATAAGTTGATTAGATTCTGGGGAAAAAAAATACTCCCTTTATAGTTAAAGCAGTAAGTAATGGAAGGAGTACATTATGGATGGAGACAGAATAGACAGGGGATTTATGAAAGTTTTAGACTAGGGAACTAGTGGTGGAGAATGAATTCATTTGTGTGAAATATCTCATTTACTGACAGCAGTGGATTCAAATGCCTGAAGAAATTCTCCATCATTTTACAGAAAGCTCCTCAGTTCTGTGGGTTATGGTGATTTCCATATGTGTTTAATGTACAGGGACATTACATCTATTGTAACAAACTGAAGTAGAGGCCGGAAGTATCTGGGTACATGTGTATTTATAAACTAGGAGCAACTGGGCGCCTGGGTAGCTCAGTGGGTTGAAGACTCTGCCTTCAGCTCAGGTCATGATCCCAGGGTCCTGGGATTGAGCCCCGTATCCAGCTCTCCGCTTGGCAGGGAGGCTGCTTCCCCCCCACTCTCTGCCTGCGTCTCTGCCTACTTGTGATCTCTGTCAAATAAATAAATAAAATCTTACAAGAAAAAAAAAAAAAAACTAGGAGCAACTGTGAGCTCCAGGTTTCCCCTCACCGATAAGTTTCTTGTCTTCTGATCTTTGCAGTATGCTCAATGTATCTCCCAAATATTCCTCCATTCTTATTCTTTATTCTTTGTTGGCTGTATGTAATCAGCTCTCCCCAGGAGAGAGTATCTATTGGTCACGTCTGAGGTGTTCCTAAACAAAACTACCTGTGCTTGAACTGTGCTGATGCAATGCCTTCCAAATGGAGTGGAGAGGAAGCAGTTTATCTTTCCTCCTAAACTGGGGGAGTGGGAAAGATACCAGTGGTGTTCATTCAAACGAATTAAGAGGATGGAGGGTTGAAAAGAAGTAGCGAACAATCCAAAATTAGGCGGACGGGATTCCAGAAAGATGGCAGAGATGGTAGTATAATTTGAATATCCCTTAGTTCCCATGCAAAAACAAACCTTGCTACTAGTAGAAACCAAAACCCCGTTTGACATAAGACTAGTTAACATGAACCACAGAATGCAAGCAGATGAGGACCAACTACCAAATGTCACAGGACCTGTCTGGTAGCTCTGTCTATGTGGGAGAAAGCAGGGGAAAACAATCGAGAGCCCTAATATAACCAAGACGTATTGACTGGAAAGCCACCTGGGGCTGATTTGAGAACAAGAGTTGAAACTGGAAGGGATTTTGCTCAAATCAACAGCTGGTGAATATGAGGGGGGCGGCCCTCAGTAGATTCTGAAAGGCACTGGAATAGTCTAAGATACAAATAATTTTCAAACCAACTGGGCACAGCTTCCCTTTGGGAAAGGGCCCTCCACTGAGGAGAAACTGCTAGAAGTGGAATCAAATTTGAACACGATGCGGGGTGGGGGGTGGGGGGGGGTGGAGATTTGAGCAGGAAAGAAACAACAGAGGCAAGGAAAGAGAAAGATCCGACCAGTCTGGGAATGGACCACTCAGAAAGCAAGCTGTCATGTTTTTGAGCACTTTGACAAAAGCAACAGAAGAGGGAGCTCTGTGAAGTTAGAAAAACTACCAAACCACATCTAAAAGTTTAGGAAAAATAACTGCCTACAAAATCCAGCAACAGAACAGCATTATGATCGAGGTCAGACAAAGTTATTATTAGAAACAAGTGAATGAGGAGTAAATCATATCTGTATAGATAGTGAAAATATACCAGGAATGCATGCACACAAAACAGATCAAAGTTTTAACAGTGTTACCGAAGGAGTTTAAAATATTAAGAAATGATACAAAACACTATAAATCAGAATTAGACAAACCAAGAAATAAATTAATACATGTAGGGAATAATTAGAATTAAGAGAAAAAACTCTAAATTTTACAGAAAAAAACAGAGTCTCAAGAAATGAGAAATTTGGGGGAAATCTGGCACTGGTGAAAAACTTTAATCTGGGGGAAAATATTAGCAACTAGAGTCCAACAGTACATAAAAAATAGTGTCTAACGGCCAAAGGGAGTTATTTTCAGGAAACCAAGGATGATACAATTTATATAGTCCATATAACATTATATGGAACAGATTAGAAGCGAGAATGACCAAAATCTAGAGGAAAACTTGGGCATTTTTTTTTTTTAAACATTGGAGTAAGGAAGACTTTTCTCAGCAAGATATAAAACCCAGGAACTCTAATGGAAAATATTGATAAATATGACTAGAAAGAAGTTATAAATTTGAATGACAAAAAAACAAAGTCAAAGAGGAAGAGCATAAAAAAAAAGAAAAAAAAGGGAAGAGCAGTATCAAAAACATTGTAATGATGTACAGTGAGAAAGGGATCATTTTCTTCACAGGCAAGGAGCCCTTGAATAGAAAGCTATCATACAGAAGTTCATATATAAGAAAAGAAATATAAATGGCCAATAAAAGACATGAAAATCTGTTCAAATGTTCACATTTCTTAGTAAAAATGTAAATCAAACTAGTAAAGAGGCAATCATTTTTCACCCATAAGATTTGCAAAGGGCATGGGGAAATGGGTATTCTAATATACAGTCAATGGAAGTATAAATTTATGCAATGGGGAAGGTTGTTTTTTCAAAAGTTGCTAGAGCATTATCTCCCAACCCACGTGAAAATCTACAGTGTGACTTTGACTCTGCCTGTCAAGAAGTAGGGTCTGTGTGCCTCCTCTGGAATCTGGGGAGAATTCTGGGGTAGAAACAAAGCTGTATAATTTTTGAAGCTGAGTCAGGAAAGACAATACAATGCCTACCTTGTCCTTCAGCCACTATATAAGTGATCTTACTGCCCTGAGTCTGCCATGCTGTGAGAAAGCCCAAGCTAGCTCATAAGGACAGACCACATGGCAATTGGCAATATATTTCAAAATGTAAAATTTTAAGCTATGGAATTGTCCCTTTAACTTGCAATGCCACTGCTAGGAATTTACCTATGGATATTCCTGCAGAAGTATATGTGTATATACATATATGTTTGTATATGTGTGTGAATATAATATATATTATATATGAACATTTATGAATGTTCATTGCAGTAATGCCATATATGAAAGACAAACTAAATATCCATCATTGGGGAATTAAGAAATCCATGGTAGACACAAATGGAATACCACAGAGCCATTAAAAAGGAAGACCTGCTGGTATGGACCTATATTCCAGATATATTTAATGAAATGGTATTATCATTTGTTTTATAAATTAATAGATACAAAAAGTATGCTGATACACACATACAATTTTTTTTGGTGGGCACATTTACTCATCTGTTAGCAGTGGTTACCACGGGGGAGAATGCTAACATGAGGATTAGAAAGAAGAAAAATTCTAGGGCACCTGGGTACCTCAGCTTGTTAAGCCTCTGCCTTCAGCTTGGGTCACGGTCTTGGAGCCCTGGGATTAAGCCCCCCATCGGGCTCTCTGCTCAGCGGGGAGCCTGCTTCCTCCTCTCTCTCTGCCTGCCTCTCTGCCTACTTGTGATCTCTCTGTCAAATAAATAAATAAAACCTTTAAAAAAAGAAGAAGAAAAATTCTTTCCCTTTTCTCTTTTTACCTTGGAACCATTTGTATGTATGT